GTAATTAACTCTATGTTTTTTTTTTTTTTTTTTCACGCTGGATACTAACTGCCCTTGCAAAGAGTGAAAAAACATCGATGCAAATAAAATGGACCCTGGTATCAAATATAGGTCAGGGACCAAGATGCGGTTACAATTTAGCCACAAATACACAAGTTAAGGTTTGAGATCTGGACCTTTGGACCATTCACAACTGATAAAGACTCTACGTATTAAAAGAACGAAAATGTATCATTCAAAGATGGTCTTTGTGACTGTTTTTTAACTATTAAAATTTATTTTTTATTTTGAGAAATTGCATTTAAATATATTTGATGATCATTAAAAGTAAATTTAGTTCTAGTTTTAAAAGTAAATTTGAAGCTTTCAAAATTGCGTTTTGAATAAAAGTTGAATATTTTAATTAACTCTTTTTCATTAAATAATTTTATCTTTTATAAAATTAGCAATAATAGAAGTATTTTAAAAAATATTGTTATCAATTATAATGTGTCACCAAAGACCTAAATGCTTTTTTTTATTAGTAATAGAAGTATTTTTAAAAATATTGTTATCAAATAATTTTAAAAATAATTTAATTGTGAAAAATATTTATTATAATGTGTCATCAAACACAATGGAGAATATAAGTGTCATAAGCTAATCCGAACTCAACCCGAGTTTAGTTTGTTTCGTACGATTTTGGACAACTATTCTTATAATTAAGGTTAATTAAGGGTTGAACTTGACTTGAGGTTCCAATAACCCAAATCCAACTTATCCGATCTAATTTTATTTTTTATTTAAAAATATTATATATACACACTCAATTATTTCAATTGTGAAAAGATTGAGATTGTTCATCTTTAAATATTTACATTAATTATGCCTAATGGTAGATGATATGCATTGGAAGCACATAAAGAATGAGAAGGTAATTTACAAGTTTCATTAAGTCATTATGGTAGATGATGTGATATGATAAAGTAATGTGATAATTTGAATCCTATCTGTGAGTTGTAAGTCCAAATTCAACCCAAACTAAAATAAGAATGATCTGGTGTCCGATTGGTTAACTCAAGTTGAAGGCCAAACTGGAGTTGGGTTAGAGTTGAATATTTAACATATATCGGGTTAGCCGGAATTATACCTCTAACCTATCCAAATCGTACCCCTAATTTTTGAGGTCTGAAGGGTTCAACATAATTAATCTCGCTTCAATGCAATAATATATTTTTTCAATTATTTAATATATTAAAAAAATTTATTATTAACTAATACTTTATCTCTTACCTTTTGCTTGAAATAAAATAACTAATTGTCATTGGTATTGTGGAGGGAAAAATTCGTCCAGTCATGAGATGACACGCGTTCGACCACGGCCCACAGCCCACAGACCACAGGAATAAACCGAATGCTGAAGATTGGGCCGAACACAACACCCATGCCCAAGGTCGGTTTAGCCGTACAACCCAAACTTCAAGACAAGCCCAAGTCCAATCCGAAAATATAGAAAATGGGCCCAAACTTCTACTCAAAGAAATAGAACCTAATGAAGGGATATATAGATATAAAAAGGAACATCTGGTAACAATTGAGCGAGGTAAGAGAGAGGGAAATCCAACTTCGTTCCACTAGCCAACTTAATGGAATATATCAGTGCATTAAAAAAAGGAAAAATTATAAGTCCTACTTTTCCATATTAATAAATTTCTCAAATTTCTAATTTTATCATTTATAATTTGTAATTTTATATTTTAATTTATTTAATATTACTTTTCTCTATTAGTTTCATTTATTTTCAATAGTTAAGACATCTCCAACCATTGTGTATATATTTTTTTGGCAAAAGTGCAAAAAAAACCCTGAACTATTCAGTTTTTTGCAAATACCCCCCTAAAGTACCAAAGTGTGCAAATACCCTCCTGAGACTCACCAGACGGCATATGTTGATTTGAAATGACCGAAATAACCTTACTTATTACATTATATAAAATAAAAAAAACCTAATTATAAAATACCAATTATACCCCACTAACTTAAGTTTATGTTAGAGAGAGAGAAAGAAGTACAGAAAGTTAGAGAGAGATGGAGGCACAAACGGGGGAACTGGGTCTACCGTGATAACAGATCCACAATGGACTGTGAGAGGATCGACAACCAGAGAGGATTCCGACGACGACGAAGCAACAAGGAACAAAAGATATGTTCTCGGAGTGACTGAACGATAAGGACGGTTTGTTGTGGATGCTGCTAGAGTTAAATTACTATTCAGGAAACGACGGCGATTCGATGAGGATGGTATGCCGGTGGTGGTCTCGCTGGATGATAAGATGGTTCGTCGTCGTCTTGGAACAAATTGTGGGTACTGAGTTGGATAGAGAGCGAGGAGTGAATGAGTCAACGACTTAACCGGGACCATTAACAGACCCTTCCAATGCCGCCGGTGATGAGGTTAAAGTAGAGGAAAAGATTGAGGCGGCGATGAAAGACGAAGGCGACGAAGTGGGACGACGGCGAGAGAGAATTCCGGCGAGCAATGGCTGGTTTTCTACAGATATATATATATATATATATATATATATATATATATATATATATATATATATCACCATTACCACCACTTCTACCACCTTCATCACCATCCATTTTGACCCATGACAAAGCCAATCACACCCATCACTGAATGAACAGTGATGCATTGCATTATATGTCTGAATTTTGATAATTAAATTTCATTCATACACACACACAAATTTGAATTTTTAAACCTTAAGCCCTAACAAAACAAAACCAATCTCACACCTTTAATCAACAACAATCTCATGAAATTTTACAGATTATTCAGCTATATTTCCATTGCATTTCTTTGTTTTGTCTCTGTTTCCATCGCCAAAGACGATGTGAAGTGCTTGCAAGGTGTGAAGAACTCTCTCACTGACCCTCATGGCAAGCTCAATTCGTGGATTTTCACCAACAATTCAATCCGCTTTCTGTGTGAATTCGTCGGAGTTTCATGCTGGAACGATTTTGAAAATCATTCTTCAGCCTCGGGTTTCGCGGTATGCATCTCATCGGCGAAATTCCGGAGTCTCTACACTACTGTCATAACTTCCAATCTCTCGATCTCTTTGGTAACGATCTCACCGCCGGTTCAAATTATCAAATTTGGAAAGAAGTTTCTGTTGCAAATAATGATCTTTCCAGCACAATTCCGATGAATTTTAAAGATTTTGATACGAGGGATTTTGCTAGGACTAGTGGACTTTGTGGGAATCCAATTGGGGAGAGCGGTGGTTTGAGTAATAAGAATCTTGCAATTAGAATTGCAGTGGGTGTTTTTGGTGCCGGGGTGTGGATGTTGTTAGGGTTTGGGTTGGGGCAGTGGTGCTTTAAGAAGTTGGATTGGAGGAGCCAAGAGTGGTTACTATTGGATTGAAAGAAGGGATGAGGATATAGTTGGATTGAGAAATTGAGGGCTCACAAGCTTGTTCAGGTTTCGTTGTTCCAGAAACCGCTTGTGAAACTTAAGCTGGCGGATTTAATGGCTGCCACCAACAATTTCAGATTGTCCTCTCTGTCTTCGTCGTCTAGAGAGTTTTCATGATAATCTCTTCCTCCTCCTCCGCCACCGCCACCGCCACCACTTAAATTCATCAATGCTCGTGTCTTCGAATCCTTCCCGGACTCCTTCATCGGAAGCTTCCATTGCTTGCTTCTTCGGACGTGCGAATCGTACTGTTGATCACCGATGTCCCCTAATCGGAGATGCTCGGCCTTCGCTGTCATTTCATATCAACGTTCTCTTATGAAGTCACCATCAAATTAGTTCCGCTGTTAATCTGACCCTCCGGTGGCTATAGAAGATCCTCCATCCGATTCTTACACTGTCCGGGGAATGATATTGATATATATATATATGTGTGTGTGTGTGTGTGTGTTTAAGTGAAAAAAAGAAAATATAACGATGAGGTCAAGGAATGGCTTTTTTGGTACTCTTCTTAACATCATCCAATGGGGGTATAATTGGTATTTTATAATTAGGCTTTTTTTTTTATATATATATATAATATAATAAGTAGGGTTATTTTGGTCATTTTAAATCAACATACGCCCGAAAAGTTGATATGGTGAGTCTCAGGGGGGTATTTGCACACTTTGGTACTTAGGGGGGTATTTGTCAAAAACTGAATAGTTCAGGGGGGTTTTTTGCACTTTTGCCTATTTTTTTTTGTATAAATTTGATGTGTCATAATAAATTTACACATAAATTTTGGATTATTTATCTTTAGGTCCAGCAGTTGTGTTTATACCCTTTGTGTAAAAACATATCCCCCAATAACAACCAACCATTGTCATGCGTGGACTCCACATAATTTTTACAAAACCAACCTAATATATGATTGATTTGTTAATGGAATGAGAAAGAGGGAGGAAAAATGAAATATGCTAATGTGGCTATGTAAAAAGGTTGTGTAAAATACACAATAATTTTATACATTACTGATGTGGCAGTGTATCTTAACATATTGTTGGAGAAAAAAAAAATTACACATTATACGTGATAGTGTATATTTTACACAAAAAAATTGCTTTAACAGATTGCTGGATGCTCTAAGAAAATCTTAAGTTTGAACAATTAAACAATATTTGGACAAAAATTATAATTGCAAAAAATTATTTCTAAGTGAAGAAGAGAATACTTGGAAGATTGAGTGTTTTAAAACTAATGTGGAAAAAGTTTTCAAAATAGAACTTTAATTGTCTCATTGTAAACGTTTAAGGAAAAAAATACCAATAGAGAGATAATACCAGCTTGAAAACACAAAGTGGGCCTTTGATCAACTAAGGCCCACTTTATGTAGGGTTGATCCAACACCGCCGAACAGGAACATTATAGTGGGCTTTTGTGTCTTCCAATTGTCATCTAACCATTCACAACTGTCCGAATTAGTTGGATGGAATTAATAGATGGTCTGTTGCAGAGGATAATATCCATGTCACTCCTTTCGATCTACTCTATATACACTGTTTTAGTCCAGTTTCCAAACCCAATTTCAGACAGCCGACACTCCCGTCAACAACGGCCTTTTAGTTCAGCTCCGTTCTCGCTACTTTTTCTCTCTGGTTTCTCGGGAAATTTTACCGAGAAAGTGAGGGAAAGGTAGTTTGGGTATTGAATTGAGGAAATGAGAAGTTTGATTGGAGAGATCGTTTTATATCAGAGGAGTATATCGTCAAAAGGTACTAGGGCTATTTCAGTGAACTCGCGAGCCCACTGCAATGGCCACAACTGTGGAAAAAGCAATGCCTCTGTCCCGTAAAGCTGCTCAAGATTGGACCGTTTCGGTCTCGAATCCCGCCGACGATCAGAATCAGATCCACAGAGCTTCCATGGCCACCTTGATTCGCCCCGTTGATCCTCTTCCTCAGCCTTCTACTACCACTACTTCTACTCCTGCAAAAGGTATATTTTGCTCTGTATATATATATATATATATACCTATACATGATTGATCTTGATAACAGTCGACTCTACAGTCTTCACATGTGGCTGGTTGCTGAGAAAAATGGAGGAAAAGAAGAGAAAGACAGAAATAATTCTTAGTTTTATTGTTTAATTTTTGGTCTAAGTATGAAATGCTCAACCATTGATAAATTTAGCCAATAGTTGTCTGTTTAGGTAGATAATTGGTAGATTATTTAATTTTTCCGTTTCAATTTTGAATGCTTTAGTATGCATGCAATCTGGAACTGAGATATTGTCCTTACAGTTCATAGAGGAGACAGAACATCTGGGAGGAACAAACTAGTAGTATGAAATTAAGATTTAAAAGATTGTAAAGTAATTGTAATGATTTTTCTTTACAATGCAAATGTTAATGTGCATTCTTAAAATCTTATTACGAGGATACTCACACTTATCTTGCATCCTTATAAATGTTAAATTTAGAGGATGATGTTGTAGTCTTACAATCCAATGGTAATACAGGTGCGAGCTTAACGAGAGTATCCTCATTAACATTTTTTCTTATTCTTAACAAAACCTAAAAAAAATACAGAATGTGTAACCTACAAAAGAAGATGAGAATACAACTTAAATAAATAGAGTTTAGAAAATTATTTGAGGGGGAAAAAAATACAGGGGAGAACATGCTGACAGTTGATACATGTGAGTGCTCCAGCCAATGAACGTGCGGAGTGGAACACTACTGACAGCAAGAGAGAGAAAGAAGAAGGGATGCTTGGCACTTGGCATGGTCATTCCTTGGTTGCTCTCTCTATTTCTGTTTTCCTTCCTTTATGAACTCCCTATATATGTAATCTAGATTTTATTTCCCTGATCTTTAGGTTGAATTTTTCTCCTTTTTTACCTTAACTAAGAATTTGAAAAAGTAACAATGATGGTGATTTAACTAAGCTTGCGCCTTTATAACGGTTTGATTGCGAGACTGTGAGGTCAGCCTCTTGAACAACTGTTAGGATGTGATCTCAGTGAGAGCACTCTCATAATTGACATGCTATTAAGAATATATATAAAGACATATTGTAAAAAATATACAATTGATTTATACTTTTTAAAATTTGTTTACATAATACTATTTGGCCTTTCCAATTAAAAAGGTTTTGTTTTTTAATTCATCTTTCTTTCTACTTATATATATATATATGTATATCTAATTTTTGCTTCATACAGCGTGTTATCTTTTGTCCCTATTCATATATTTTTATTTTTGTAAATTCTTATTTCCAATCACATGCAGATGCATAATGTGACTTCCCTGTTCTTTGATATTCCAATATCTGACCTTTATTGTTTACTTCCTACCTGCTTTCCCTTTTAATTATCTAAGATATTGGATTGCTTCAGTTGCAACCATGATTACTGAATCTGTTTCTTTGCATGCACAGGGATCCCAATCATGTTGAGGGTTCAAACCTGCCACCCTTTGGACCCTTTAACCGCTGCTGAAATCTCAGTGGCTGTGGCCACTGTCAGGGCTGCTGGAGCAACTCCTGAGGTTGTTATTTACATTACACTTCTGTTTATCTTGAAATAGGTTTCAATTATGATATAACATGGAATTTGTTCTACATGTTTAGGTGAGAGATAGCATGCGATTCATTGAGGTGGTTTTGTTGGAACCAGAAAAGAATGTGGTTGCATTAGCTGATGCATATTTTTTCCCTCCTTTCCAACCATCATTATTACCCCGAACGAAAGGTGGACCTGTAATTCCCAGTAAACTTCCTCCAAGGAAAGCTAGACTTGTTGTTTACAATAAAAAGTCAAATGAGACGAGCATATGGGTTGTTGAACTATCAGAAGTTCATGCTGCAACTCGTGGTGGTCATCACAGGGGCAAAGTCGTTTCATCCAAAGTTGTGCCAGACGTACAGCCTCCCATGGTATGTAGTTTCATTTTCTGAACATTACTTGAAGTTCTTCATTTTTTGATTGATCAATTTTAATATTCTAACAATACCTTAACTGAAAACAGTAACACCTCATTAAGTGAAAGGTAACTCTACTGTTTACATTACTTAACTAGTTAGTTGTACTTAGTTGTGAGTTTTTACAACAAATTTAGAAGAAATAGTGCTATAATGAAAATTAATTTTATTTGCTTTTGACCTATCTATAGATTTTGAAATTGGTTCACTCATGAAGACATGAACATGCACATGCATGTACACGCACTAATCCACCCTAAAAAATCCCTTACTGGAGCCTGTTTGGTAATCAGAAAGCTGTTAACACTATGTCTTCTTCTCACAGGATGCGGTGGAATATGCTGAATGTGAAGCTGTTGTAAAGGACTTCCCCCCATTCCGGGAGGCAATGAAGAAGAGGGGTATTGAGGATATGGATCTTGTGATGGTAGATCCCTGGTTAGTTACTGGATCATATTTCTTTTACAATATCCTATGGCAATCTATTCTTTATGAATGTTTTGCACTTCTTTATGCTTTGGGATGGGAACTCTTTTTACAGGTGTGTTGGCTATCACAGTGAAGCTGATGCACCTAATCGCAGACTCGCTAAACCGCTTATCTTCTGTAGAATCGAGACTGACTTCCCTATGGAAAATGGTTATGCTCGTCCGGTTGAAGGAATTTATGTACTAGTCGATATGCAAAATATGGTTGTGGTTGAGTTTGAAGATCGTAAACTTGTTCCTCTACCACCAGCCGATCCCTTAAGAAATTATTCTTCTGGTGAAACACGGGGAGGTGTTGATCGAAGTGATGTGAAACCTTTACATATTATTCAGCCTGAAGGTCCAAGCTTTCGTGTTGATGGGCACTTTGTTCAATGGCAAAAGGTGCTTGATTATTTTTGTAATTAGATTTGCTGATTTTTCACTATTTTTAACATTTATATTAATTATTTTTTCATTCTCAATTGCTATTTGGCAGTGGAATTTTCGTATTGGTTTTACTCCCAGGGAGGGTTTGGTTATTTATTCTGTTGCATATGTTGATGGTAGCCGAGGTCGCAGACCTGTGGCCCACAGGTTAAGCTTTGTTGAGATGGTGAACCCTTATGGAGATCCAAATGATCCACACTACAGGAAGAATGCCTTTGATGCAGGGGAAGATGGGCTTGGCAAAAATGCTCATTCTCTTAAAAAGGTCGGAGAACTTTGTATTTTGCTTAGTTTGTTCTTTTATGTATTTGTTTTTTGTAGGATTTTGTTTGGGTTCAAATGAAAAGATTCTGCTTGCCATAACTTAAGCATTGCAGGGTTGTGATTGTTTGGGCTATATCAAGTACTTTGATGCACACTTTACGAATTTCACTGGAGGTGTAGAAACGATTGAAAATTGTGTTTGCTTGCATGAGGAGGATCATGGAATCTTATGGAAGCATCAAGACTGGAGGACAGGTTTAGCCGAAGTACGGAGGTCAAGACGATTAACCGTGTCCTTTATATGTACTGTGGCTAATTATGAGTATGGATTCTTCTGGCATTTTTATCAGGCAAGTAAGTGACTACCTTGTTTTCATCTGTGAATGAGTATGCTTTTATTGCTTCAACTGGAAGGATTACTCTGTCTGTAATCCCGCAGGTTTCCCCCCTCATATTTGACAAGCTTAATAGGCACTTCCTTGAGGCTTAGTTGTCATCTTAACAAGTAAATTGGCTTATTATATTCCCATGGGCACATTTGCGGTTTTTATTTTTCGAATTTGCTATGTTTTGATGCTCCTGCTGTATTTAGACTTTCTGCTGTGATTTTATTATCTTCAATAGTAGTTATACTATAACTACTATTTCCTGTTACAGGATGGAAAAATTGAAGCTGAGGTTAAACTCACAGGAATTCTCAGCTTAGGAGCTCTGCAACCTGGGGAAGTCCGGAAATATGGTACAACTATTGCACCTGGATTATATGCACCCGTCAATCAACACTTCTTTGTTGCTCGTATGGACATGGCAGTTGATTGTAAGCCCGGTGAAGCACATAATCAGGTTAACTTTCTGAGTTATATAGATATTTCTTTTGCTGTTCAGTCTTTCAGTTGCTAATGGTTGGTCTTAACATTTATAGCATGCTTATTATTATTATTTTTATTTTTTTATATGGTATTATAATCACCTTTTGCTGTCATTTCCTGGAAACATTGATTTACATTTTATAGTAGTGTCTGCTGCTGCTTCTTTATCATCGTCATCATATTTTATTTTTTTTCTTTCTTTTTCCATGGATGAGAAACCCATCTCTTATTTGATCTGTTCTTTTTTGTTTTTAATTCTTTTCTTTGTAAACATATTCTGTTATAGTGAGTATTTTCTTGACTGGATCTTTAATGCACGGCAAAAGAATATGCCTTGCCTTGTGTTTTATTTGGTCACTGGTGTTATTAATACTTCAACATGGTCTAACAGAGCTAAATAATGAGCTGGTGGTGGGTATGCTTGCGGAGTATTAAATACTATTATTCTATAATCAATTGTTTAAAGAACCCCTGGACACTTATACCTGGAACATGGAGGATGGGTTCACTATTAACCTCATCGTATTATCCTTTATTCTATTTAACAGATAGTTGGATACTGAGAAGTTCAGTGGCAATCTTGCAAGTTATTCCAGAATCTCCATCCCTCTATTAGTCAATGTAACATCAGGAACCTCATGGTTGTTCCCTTGTGATTAATGAGACAGGCAACCAGCTGATTTTTCTCTTTTTTGAATAACATAGTTGCTAGTTGATCTTGCTGCTTAGTTTTGTAGGATCGGTCACAGATCACATTTAAGTGTGCCACCATCTTTTGTAACTAAAAACCTGTAATTTATCCCACCATTTCCTCATCTCTTTTTTGTTATCTATAAGACGTGGTTTTGTAATATTCTTCTGGCATATAATCAAGGTCAAACCATAGTGTTGTCACAAATTCAGTGACTATGACATGTTATAGAATGTTTGTGGATCATGTCTGCCACATCCTCTAAATTATATGTTAAATTAACCTCAATATCTCATGTAGGTTTTGACTTTTGATAGGATTCTGTCATCAACTATGCTGCAATTTCTAGATGTTCTCTGGAATTAGTTTGGAGTTTGTCTTAGAGGTCTTGTTAACTCATTCTTGCACCAGAACTTGTTCTGTCTGGATGTATGGTTACGTCCTTTTAATGGACTTGTCATGATCAAACTGGTATGGAGTCACACTTGGGTGACTTGTGCCTCTTGTGCTGGGTGCCTTCAAGTGTTCTATGGTTCATTTGAGATTGATGGCTCAAATATGGCCGAGGCTGTTGCTTATCCAAGAGATAAAGGTGGTTGAAGCTTTCTTGGGTGACTTGTGATGATCAAACTGGTATGGAGTCACACTTGGGTGACTTGTGCCTCTTGTGCTGGGTGCCTTCAAGTGTTCTATGGTTCATTTGAGATTGATGGCTCAAATATGGCCGAGGCTGTTGCTTATCCAAGAGATAAAGGTGGTTGAAGCTTTCTTGCAAACTTGGTTATAAGGAAAAACAGCATGATGCAATGGGGTTTATCCAGTCAAACTTTTGCAGTTCTTGGAGGGTTGTCCCATGCTATTTATGAGATTTGGAGCTCCTCAGTCTATATGAGCTTGTTGTGTAGTAGGCTTCCAGATTCACGTCTCTCGATGAAAAAGAAAAAAAATAAAAAAAAGGAGTGGTGAAATATTTGGTGCTGATTTTCTGCATTACTGAATCTAGGCTTTTTTCTTTATTGATACAATAGCAACAGTGGCCTTTTTTGGAATACCTTTTTACCTTTGCATAATATACTTATTTCTTTACACGGATAGTCATCACTCAAATATGATGTTGATGTTCCTAAATATGTGAGCATTGCTTCTTGTTTTTAGGTTGTTGAGGTGAATGTTAAAGTCGAAGAACCAGGAGAAAACAATGTTCACAACAATGCATTCTATGCTGAAGAGAAGTTGCTCAGATCCGAACTAGAAGCAATACGTGATTGTAATCCTGTATCTGCCCGACATTGGATTGTAAGATTCCTTGAAGTTATTGAAGTTTATCCACTTTTTCTTTTTTTGTCCCCATAATCTCTCTCTCACTCGGTGTGTATGAGTTCTTGTGTTGATGTTTGGTTGTTAATTAAACTCTCTTATTACATTATTGGCTTGAATTTTTAGTAAAGTCGTTATCCAATATTGGTTCTGCTTATGTAGGATGTTTGGAGGCTAACACTAGATCAATACCTAATATTTATAGGATATGCTTACCTACCCACCGGTGAGTAGGTGCTCCCAGGACCAATCACAAATGCACAAATATCATTTAATTACAAATAAGGAAAGTAATAAGTAAGAAAAATGAACTCGGATCAACCCGCATTCTTTCAGGTAAATCAGGTTCTGTTTCACCCATGCACATCCTCTCTGTCCATATTTATATTAAGGCTTATTAGTACTATTTTACATAAAATATTGGCCACTCAACTCATACCCTCACGGTTTCGAACCCGAGCTTTTACCAAGGGAAGAAGTCACTAGTTTCACATTGACAAAACTAAATATTTTATTATTATTGTTATTATGATTATTTTTTACTAGATGGTTATCCCCACCCTTTTGGTGGGACTATTCTCTTGTGGACATGTGGTCACCATAAATTAAGTATATAATGTCACTATTTCATATGGAGGACACCAAATGACCCGGGCTTGGTATGATCTGTATTGCAAAGGATGGGTTGGGTATGGATAGATAGGATGGAGCAAGTTCACGCTGGATGGGCCCAGATCCATAAAGTTATTGCAGAAGCCTATATTAAAATGAGAGAAGTTGAGTCCAGGCAAAAGGGAGCAGATAAGGCCCAGGCTAGAGGAGGTTATAACCGTCTATAAATAAGGGAAATCGAGAGGGAAAAGGGGTTAGAAAGATTGGGAGTGAAAAATTTCTCTTTGTGTAATTGGGGGAAATTCTTTGTACTTTCAATTGGCGCCGTCTGTGGGAAGAACAGGAAGGATTGATTGATGTTGTTCCAGATCGATTCGATTCAAAGCACTCTGCGAGGAAGACGATTAATCTGCGAAAGCTGAATCAACATTGGCAATAATACGATTTGTCTCGATGAGTCCAGGCTCCGGTTGATTTCGCGAAGTTGGCGTCCGATCCAAGCAGATCAGATCTGTACTTGATCCAGCGAACTGCACAATTGCAATCTGTTGTGATTACTGAATCCGTCCAGTAGCGGACTGAATTCAGCAAGTGTGAGTTCAGATCTGGTGTATGCGCATTAGCGGAACTCCGATCTGGTCAAGAAATCTGCAGTTGATGACTTTGCTCCGATCTGGAATGATGATTGGAGAGGCGAACTCAAATCCTTTGGAGAACGGCCGGTAGACGAAGCTGGATGAGATGATGAACATGAACGACGCTTTGAGGAAAGAAAATGCAGAGCTACGAGCTGGAATGGAGCGTCGTGAGGCTCTTGCAATTCCGAGGCCACCTCCTGAGGGAGAGGGAGCTTTACCGTCCCAAGCTGATCGTCAAGGTGATCCAGAAGGTGTCAATCGTGTTGATCCACGTCGTGATGAAGTTATAATCGGTGATCTGCTTCCGAATGTCCGTCGAGTAGATGATCGAGAAGGATTTATTCATCTGGAACCACATCGCGAACGGATTATGAGGGAGGAAGCACCGGCATATGAACATAGGGTTGCGTCACCATGGCGAAGTGAGTTTGCGGAGGACAAGTCGTTTGATCTGCCTTACCGACCTTCACTAGCAACATTTGATTACCACAGTTTAGAAAGGAGATCTGCTGATCGGGGGTTTCCGTCACGGTTTTCAAGGGAAAACGAAGCGTTGCACTCATCAGCAAGAACGGTTGCATCTCGGTTCACTGATGAAATTCTGAACGCGCCGAATCCGAAGAAGTTCTCCATGCCGGTTTTCATTTTGTTTGACGGAACAACCGATCCGGTCGATCACATCTACCATATTCAGTTGAAAATGGCTCTGAATACTAACAATGATCCTTTGATGTGCAAATGCTTCCCTACGAGCTTGGCTAAACCAGCTCTCAATTGGTTCAAGAATCTGGCTCAGGGCTCAGTCGCCAGTTTCCAGGACTTATGTGATAAGTTCATAAAGCCAGTACTACGGGAATAAACGTCCGGCTAAGGATGTATCAAGCCTTTTCACAATGAAGCAGCATGAGGATGAATGGCTCCAAGCTTTTCTCACCCGGTTCAACCTTGTTAAAAGTATGGTAATGGAGTGTCATCCGTCCACAGCAGTCCAAGCATTTAAACTCGCAATGAATCGGGGGACGCCGTTCCACACCAGCTTGGTGGTTAATACGCCAAAGACCATGGACGAGCTGAACGAGAGAGGTGACGGTTTTGTTCGTCTTGAGGAGGAAGAGGCAGCTAATTCGAGGAAGACGTCAATTATTTCGACGGAAGAGAAGTCCAAAGCCAAGATCTGGCAAAAACAAGCTCAGCCGCAACGTCACACCTCATGGAAGGCGGAGAAAAGGCCCAGGGAGGAGGAATCAGTAACTCCACTCGAGTCACCTTAGCAAGGCTATACCAAGAGAACAAAGATAAGTTTCGTCCTCCTTTGCCAATCAGGCAACCTCTTGAACAGAGGGATCAAACTAAACATTGTGCTTTCCATAGTGATTTTGGACATCAGACTAACGAATGTAGGAACCTAAGGAGGCAGGTAGAGATGCTAATCGCAAAGGGGGAATTTGCAAGCTATGTTCAAGGTCCGGCGCAAGAGCAGAACCGCCTGACTGAGCAGATCAAGCGGAACCAGAGGCCAAACCCACACAACTCCCAGCCTGTTCGGATTATAAATGCAATTCATGGCCGCCCTGAACAAACGACGGAGTCAGAAGAATTGCTCAGAACACGGTTACGCCAGGCCCAGTTGAAAAGGAGGATTGGCAGTGTGCATGCTTTGCACCTGCAGAACGCGTCCACATCGATAAAGTTTGATAGAACGGACCTGCTACGTGTTCAGATTCCTCATGAAGATCCATTAGTAGTCAGTCTGACGGTTGCAGAATGCCTTGTGCGAAGAGTTCTGATTGATCCAGGCAGTAGTGCGAATGTCATGCCCAGTATGACGTTCGACCGACTTGAGATCGAACCCGAAAAACTCAAACCCACAGGAAATCCGTTGCTCGGATTTGATGGGAAGCGAGTGGAACCCATTGGAATGGTGGAATTGACAGTACAAGCTGCTGAGCGAGTTTTGACTGAAAGTTTTGTGGTCGTGGAAATTCATCCATCCTACAACCTCTTGATGGACAGAGGATGGATTCACTGGGTTCAGGGCGTTCCATCAACCTTGCATCAAGTGATGCGATGCTTGGGTCCAGATGGGACCAAGGTGATAGACATACATGGGGACCAGGTTGCAGCTAAAGAATGTTATTCAGTGACTTTGAAATCTGCTGGAAAAGGGAAAAATCCCATCCGTTCTGCCAGTCCAAAATAGCAATTACAGAAACCTCCTCCCAACAAAGAGGGAGAGGAGGAGCCACCAGTTCTGACCACAGAACCCCTTCATGAAGTGAAGATTGACCATGAGAAGTCGGACCGAACAACGAGAGTGGGAACCAGACTTACTGAAGAGGAAAAACTAGAGTTGACTGATTTCTTGACTCGGAATGCAGATGTATTCGCATGGAGCCATTCAGATATGCCAGGGATAAATCTTCTGTATCCTGCCATTCCCTCAATGTAGACCCGAATGCAAAGCCAGTAAAGCAGAAACAGAGAAGATTTGCTCCAGAACGAAATCAGATTATAGCTGAGGAGATTGATCGGCTGCTTGAAGCCGGATTCATCCGAGAAGTTCAGTACCCGGCCTGGCTCTCCAATGTTGTTGTAGTGCAAAAAAAGAATGGGAAATGGCGAGTGTGTATCGACTTCACTAATCTGAATAAAGCTTGCCCAAAGGATAGTTTCCCATTGCTAAGGATTGATCAAATGGTAGATGCCACCACAGGATACGAGCGATTAACCTTCCTGGATGCTTATTCCGGATATAATCAAATTCCCATAGATCCAGTTGACGAAGAGAAAACTTCATTTGTTACTGAACGAGGGACTTATTGCTACAAAGTCATGCCGTTCGGATTAAAAAACGCTGGAGCTACTTATCAGAGGCTGATCAACAAGATTTTTAAGGGCCAAATGGGAAGCACTGTCGAGGCTTATATTGATGATATGGTGGTCAAGAGTAAGAAGAAGAGCGATCATTTAGCGCACCTGCAGGATGTGTTCGATGTGTTGCGCCAGTATGGGATGAAGCTTAATCCGGCCAAATGTTCATTCGGCGTAAGCTCCGGTCAATTTCTGGGATATGTGGTCAATCATAGAGGAATTGAGGCCAGCCCAGCGCAGGTAGAAGCCCTGATCAGAAATGCAGAGCCAAAGACAATTAAGGAGGTGCAAGCACTCACAGGTCGAATAGCTGCACTGAGCCGATTTATTTCCAAGCTTTCGGACAGCTGTAAACCTTTCTTTGATACAATTCGAGGGCACGGAAGGCAAACCTGGGGGGATGAACAACGACAGGCGCTAACCAGCCTGAAAGAATACATGCGCAACCCTCCAGTTCTGTCTGCTCCCGAGCCGAATGAGAAGCTCTTTCTGGATCTTGGGGTATCCAGTATAGCGACTAGTGCCGTTCTGATCCGTTGCAAAGAAGGAAAGCAATTCCCGGTGTTCTATGTTAGCAAAACAATGTCTGAGCCGGAAAGAAGGTATTCAAGGGCCGAACGAATGATCTTGTCGCTGGTCAATGCAAAAAGGAAGCTTAGACATTATTTCGAATCTCATCCGATCGTCGTTTTAACAACTTTCCCTTTGAGAATGATCCTGCACAAACCGGACCTATCGGGGAGAATGACCAAGTGGGCCATTGAATTGAGTTCATTTGATATTGCGTACGAGCCCAGGACGGCAATCAAAGGTCAAGCGGTGGCGGATTTCCTACTTGAATGTGATGCTGAAGATTTG